CGTGATGGGGTCCGTTCTTCCTTTCTTCTAGGGTGGCATGGCTACAGAGCCCACGTACAGGCTTCGCTCGAACTTCTTCCGTTCGGCGTTCGAGTCGCCCGTCTCTCCACCCCCAAATATCACCTTCACCCCCATTCTGGGCTTCTTACCCGGGTTCCCTGAACCTTGTGGTTCATCTCTGGGAGGATTATATACATCATTTCTGGGGCGAGCATCACGCTGTACATCTCGCCTCCAGCTGTTAGATCTCCTGACCGGATTCAGAATGCCTGTAGCATTTGGGTCCGTATTTACATATTTACCTAGATGACCCATCTGGATAAACTTCTCAATGGCTATCTGCAATGCCCGATAGGATTGGATGGAGTGACCGCCCCTGTTGTGGTATTTGCAAAAAGCATTTGCATCTGTCCCCATAAATCCTTTGGTATCAGTCGGAGGGGGAATGTTGTCCTTCTCGTTTTGATAGATGGTCGCTACAGAAAGGACCAAAGGAGTGAATCGTGCCGCTCTTGAAGGTGGGGCGGCCACTGGGATATGACCCATCCGATCGGGCAGTTTTATTGGCGTGGGGGGTCAGCAACCTTATCCCTGGTCTGGATTTCTTCTTCCAGAGCTGCATGTTTCCGGGATCTGTCCAGCACTTCAGAATAAATCGTACCCGGATTCTTTTTCAGCTCTTTATACAATTCCCCCGTTCGGAGAGCGTTAGTAAACAGAGTGATGGTTGTATCATCCGTCATGCTCCCCACTTTTAGGGTTTCATCTCTCCAACTCTTGAGGAATTGATTCAAGGTCTCCTTAGGGCCCAGCCTGATACTAGTCAGGTGACTGAAATGCCTCTTGGGAGTGGCACTGGATGCAAACCGGGGCAGGAATAATGCTGATAATTCGGAAAAACTATTGATTGATCCGGGCTGCAGGGTCCCGAACCATTCCTGGGCAGGCCCCCTGAGCGTGCTGAAGAAAAGTCGGTAAATGGCCGGTTCCGACGCTCCCAATAGCATAAGACCCCCCCCCCCCCCCCAATAACTTCTCAAGTGTCCGTGGGGATCTCCCGCCCCGTCATATATCTGACCGGTCGGCGGTTTGGCATCCCTGTGGATCTCTGCTTGCATGATTTCCTGGGTGAAAGGGGAAGTGATTCCGGCCTGAACTGGAGTAGGCTGCAGAGGGGCTCTGTTCATTTGTTCCCTCATTTCGTTCATCTGCCTCCTCATGTCGGCCATTTCTTCCTCCTGAGCTGTTGGGGGGGCGGTGGTGGAGTTCCCAGATTTACAAACTCCCGATTCGCCTCCGGCAAAGTTGTCCTCTGATTGTGACGTCTCTGCCCGAATCTTGTGATGTTACGTTCTTCATACTGGAATTGGCAGCCAATTGGCGTATCTCCCCTGGCCCTGGACCTGGTCGGGGTGTGATCACTAGAAGTGTGATGCCTGCCCTGGTCGCATGAGTTCTTCCGCGGTCTCCCCGGTGGGCTCGCGAGTGATTTGATCCTGTGGTGGTTTCAGCATCGGTGGTTTCATCATTGAAGGATGGGGTTGTGTATCTAGTTTCCCCGGTATAGCTGGACTGTCCCCCATCCTGCTCATCCGCCATTTGTCGCATGAACTGAGCCAAATCTCGCATGGCATGGGGGTTCCTCCTTAATGCTTTGGGTATAACGAAATCCCCGTCAGAGTGCGGGTAGGACCCCCGGCTGGATTGCCCTTGGGGGTCTGGCTTTCCCCGATATGATGAGAAGTGATTCTTACCATCTTTTAAAATAGGTTGTTGTTTTGGTGTGAAACTTTTCGTTCAGTTCCCACAGACGGCGCCATTGTTGAAGTTTAGTCCCGTAGATCCGAAAGCCCAACACAGACTTTGGATATATTAGGAAATGGACAATAATTCGGTATGTAAAAGAAAAATATAAAAGATGATAATCGAATGCTCAAAAGTCCACTTGTATTAATTGACCTGTTTGATTACAAGGAAATTACCCGAACGGTACACCGGATTGATGCTTAATACAAGAAACAAGAGTAATAAGGCTATTCTAGGGCTTGAGTATTAAAAAGCTAACTCTTACAATGATATTAAACCTTCTATTTATACTAATGGAGAGTATGGGATGCTTTATGCTGATTGGCCGATGTTCCACCGACTTGATCACCCATGCTTCCACTTGATGATGTCACAATCTGGCATTAATTGCACCTGGCCACCTGCTGATTGTCCGTTGCCCGAATGGGATAATGAGCCCTGTAAAATATTGTTGATTTGGCCCAAGTACGATGTATGACTCGAACCTCGTTCGATATGAATACCTCACTGGCTTACTTATCATAAGGTAATGAACTCGTTGTTTGGGCTGGATGTCCTGGACCTTTAATCCGGGTATTGGACCTCCGGGTCAATATCCCAACAATTATGATAGAGATTTGAAAAGATTTTTAGCAATACACTAATACTACATCAAATATTAATAATACAAACTCTATGACAATTATTTTTAACTTAGTCAAATTTTACAAATTGATGTCTCTTATCATTTGGATGACGAGATAGTCCATTATTATAGAAAAATATGTTTGTATTCATATTTCATTTTTTTAATATACAAAGCTTCATAAATATGGTTAATTAACATGTTTTTTCTATAATAATTTAGTATCTCATCCATTCAAATTAAGGTATCTAATTACAAAATTGACTAAGTTAATAGTTAGCATATACTTGTATTAACATTTAACGTAGTATTTCAAAAAATACTTTGAAATATCTATTATAATGAAAAACGATGAATATAAATAAAATAATGATAAAAATAAAAGATAAAAGAGTGTGATGAGTATATGTTCAAATATCTCTAGTACGTTTTATCACCACATGAGGTTACATTTTTAGTAATGGGGTTACAGTTGTCACTACATTTGAGAATGAGAATATGAAATTACATTTCCAATAACGTCAGTAACATTTTTATGCACACGGTTTACACTGCATTTACTCTTCATTCATACACAAATATAGCCCTGATATTTTTAAATATATTATTTGTTGTAGCTCTTATATTAAAAATAAAACATATTCACTACTTGGGTTAAATAATTGATCAATTAGACTCTCATCTAATCATGGTCTTTATTTCTTCTACTTTGTATTAGATAACTTACATTTCAATTTGATCTACGCTACAACACACAATATTCACGCATATTAAATGCAGAAGTATAATGCTCACGATGAGTTGATGCCACAATATAACAACTCAATTCTATTTCTTTTGTAACAATTAATTCTTACAGTAATAATGTTCGGATCGCCAAATGCCCACCCGTTAGTGGAATGGTGGAAGGTTTATGATTAGAGTAAAAATGAAGAGCTTATTTGGTAACAGTGTAATATTGAAATTGGTTGAATCTGCTAATCATTCTAAAATTGAATAGCTCTACTTGAAGTGGTTGATGTGACTAGATCAGTTAAATTATGAAAAATTATTTCTAAAATATATTTTATTAATAAAGAATTATATGAAAAATAACTAAAATAGTCTTCCACAATAATTTCGATCAATTCAATCAAAAAATTAACTTCAATCTTACTATTTTGACTATTATACAATTCATAGCATGAAAGTCAAAGCTGTGTGTTTGAAACAAAAAAATGATTATAAATCTAATAAGCCGAAAACAACGGTCATCAAACGGGCTCTAAGAGCCCGTTTGGTAGCACGAAAATCGGCTGTTTTGGTTGATTCTGCTTAAATTTATGAAGTTCTGGCTGAAGTGACTGCATTGGCTGATTCTGCTGATTTAAGAAAAAAAAATTAAAATATATTTTATTAATAAAATAAAGAAAAAATTATATGTAAAAATAGCTAAAATGGTCATCTACATTAACTTCAGCCAATACAGCCAGAAAAGTAACTTCAACCTTACTTTTTCTGCTTATTGCACAATTAAGCGCGCGAAAGAAAAAATTACGCGTTTGGTGAAAAAGTTAGTTGATAAGCCTGATAAGCCGAGAAACAGTGTTACCAAACAGCCTCTAAGTCTACATATGACACTTAAGTTAGTATTTCTATGAGAAATCTTTATGTCCCTTAAGGGTAACCGCAAGCTAGCTCCGTTAATAAATCAAATCTCCCACCATTTTATACGTTTTCACTCTATCAATTCAATTTTCACTGCAATCCAATATGGTTAATATATTCACCCAAGAAAGTTTTTTAATTAAAAGATTACTTTTTATTATCATACATCAATACTTTAAATTAGTTTTTACAAATAATCGTGATTTTAAAAGTCAAAAATTATGATGTAAAAATAAATAAAGTTGGACTTTCGGAGTATATTTTTTGTTACGTTTGAAGTATTTTTTTAAATAAATTTGAGCGATGTAAAAACAATAATCATGAGATCTAAATTTTAACACTTCAATCTTTTTTAAGAAAAAAATTGAGTCCAAAACACTTCGATTCTTAAAATTCCATATATTTAATTAAACTTTATATTATGCAATATTGAATATTGATGTTGTTATAAAAAATTATGAATTTTGATACATTTTTTACAAAAATCAGAGTATAAAAGTTATAACATATTTGATGTCGTTTCTGATTCGGCCAGCGTGCAATGCTTTTTTTTGTTCTCCTTTGTTTCTCCATTTGTTCAGCAAAATGAACATCAGAACATGGGGTGGAGTGGATACAACAACAACAACATCCAAGCCTTAGTCCCAAAAGATATTAGAGTCGGCTAACATTAGGGGTGGATTCGGGCCGGGTCGGGCCCGGGCCGGGCCTAGGCCCGGTCAGGCCGACGGTTCGTATCATATGGGCTCGGGACCGGCCCGAGGGTTGGACGGGTCCGGTTCGGGCCGGGCCACCCGCCTGGGTCACGGGTCAGGCCACCCATCGGGCCGGGCCGGGTCGGTTAAATATTTTTTTTGTTTTTGTAATTTATATTTTATACTTTATAGTTTTATACAAGTATTAAAAAACAAACTTCGAGTGCATTTATTTGAAATGAAATAGGAACTACATTTGAAAATTAAATAGGAACTACAATTGTTTTTAAAACATGAAATACTAATCAATCATTCAATCGGAATCTCCGGCATAGGTAGAGCCACCCTCGGTTGTAGATTCATCCATAAAGTGTTGGGATGGGGTGATGTCAATTTCTTGAGCTCTACGGGTTGCTTTCAACCAATCGTGGTAGCATATAAGCATCTCAAGAGATTCAGCGCTCAACCTCGTTCTGGTTTGTGTTAGGACATTGCCGGCCGAACTAAATTCTTGCTCCACGGCAACCGTTGAAACCGGCATTGATAGCACTTGCTTAGCCATCTTTGCTAAAACCGGGAACATTCTTTCTTCTCTTCCACCAGTTTAGTACGTCAAAATCATAATCTTCTTCAAAATCAACATCATAAGTTAAATACAAAGAAATCTCATTAATTGTGCTTTGTTGTGTAGCGGGAGTTGATTAGGGGTGGACTCGTGTCGGGCCAACCGGCCCGGAACCGGACCGGCCCGCTACTGTGCGGGCCCGGACCGGAAGGGTGAACCGGTTCCGGGCCCGGTGGGATGGCGGTTCGGGCTCGGGCCCTTCAAATGGTGAACCGGCCCGGCCGGTTCGGGCCCGGACCGGGCCAATTTTTTTTAAGTTTTTGGGTTGGGCTGGGTATTTTGGGTCATTTGAGGTGGTTAGGGTTGGTTTGGGGGTGTGGGGGAGGGTTGGGGGTTAACTAGGAAAAGCCAAAAAAAAATAGAACCGAGGCCCGGCCCGGACCCGGGGGTTACCCGAGCCGGTTCCGGGCCTCCCCTTCTTGAACCGAGGCCCGGCCGGGCCCGAACCGGAACCGGTCCACCCCTAGAGTTGATTTTGTTTTTTTAATAAGATTGGCAAACGTAGATTTGAAAATTGATTTTCCTTTAGATGATGTTTGTGTCGGGGGAGGGGGCGCATTGCCATATTGTGCATGAAACTCATTGAATAATGCATAAAATATATCACTAACCTCGTTGTATTCTTTTTTCGGATCAATTGGGTTGTCCTCATACATTGGCAATGGACCAAAAAAAGCAGCATAATAATAATTCAAACATTCTTCTAAAGAACCAAGTCTAAAACGAGGATCGAGAACAAATGCAATACCATAAATATGCGGAATATGTGAATAATATTTTAAAAACTTTTCCTTCATAAAACTAGCAAAATAACTCACATAATCAGCATTCACGAAATTTGAAAAAGCACCGGCGAGATTAACAGCTTCACGAATAAATTGGTTTGAGGTAGGTTTATAAACATGACTAAAAGTTTCAGTTGCATGATTAAAATATATCAAAGCATTGCAAATTTTTTCACAGGTGTCGATCTCAGCCGAGTTTATAATATAATTATTTTTACCCCCCACCCCCCCACCACCCAACCCCCCCGGACCCCCCTTGCACCCCACCCAACGGCTATATAGCCGTTTGGGTTGTCCCCAGCCCACCCCCCAAGGCCATAACGGCTAGCAAGTATTTAACAAATTTTAAAAAAAAAAAATAGGACTGTTGGACCCGAACCCGGGGCCGGGTCACATTTTTCCGGAACCGTGCCCGCCCCGCCCATTCCCACCGGTTCGGGTCTACACCCGGTCCCGGACCGCCCAAGCCGATCCCGGGCCCGCACAGTACCGGGTCAGGCCGGGTCACGGGCCAGGTGGCCCGAACCGAATCCACCCCTAGCTAACATGGATCGATACATGATATCACAACCAAAAGGAAAAGAAAGAAAATAAAGATAAAAAAGATAAGCTATTATAAAAAGATAATATAAAAAGAGATGAATATACATAAAAATGATAAAATAAAAATGCTACAAATAATGATTATATATATAATGATATAAACAAGGAAAAAAAAGATGAGGGAAAAAGATTACACGAGATCACGCCCTCCACTTAGTTCTCTCCAAAGTCATGCCCTCATAATGATGGACCCAGTCCGATCAGGTTCCAGTTCCGGGCCAAGCCCGGGCGGGCTTTTTTTGCAAATACTTGGGCCTGGAACCGACCCGGGTTGATACCAGATCCGGGCCTAACCGGGCCGGGTCGAGCCCGATTCAATGTCTAATTTTTTTTTTTTTGCTTTCTTGTTATCCCCCGACCCACCCCACCCCCCCTCACCCCCCACCCCAAACCTCCCCAAAACACCCAGCCCTACCCTAGGAAAAGAAAAAAAAAATTGAAAAAACAAAAAAAAATATACCCGAGCCGGTTCGCCCAAAACTGGGCCCGAGCCCGGCCCACCCGACCCGCCCAAATGGGCTAAAAGCCCGGAACCGGCCAACCGGTCCCGGTCCGGTCCGGGCCCGCACAGTAGCGGGGAGGGCCGGTTCCGGGCCGGGCCGGGCCGATTTAGTCCATCCCTATGCCCTCATCCAACCCCACAAGAAGCATATCACTTCGAACTCCCCTAACCCACGTCTGTTTGGGTCTTCCTCTCTCTCTCTTCCCTGCCTCTTCTCCACACATCTCAACTCGTCTGACAGGTGCATCACTCGGTCTTCTACTCACATGACCAAACCACCGAAGGCGCGACTCCCGCATCTTGTCTTCAATAGGTGCTACTCCACTCCTTTGTCTGATTGTCTCATTCCTCATGCGGTCCTTCCTAGTATGCCCACACATCCAACGTAGCATGCGCATCTCTGCCGCACTCATCTTTTGAATGTGACATTGTTTCACCGCCCAACACTCTACGCCATACAATAATGCAGACCTAATTGTTGTCATATAAAATTTACCCTTCAGTCCAGTCGGCATACCTCAGTCGCATAGAAATCCTGACGCACTCTTCCACTTCATCCACCATGTTCTGATTTTATGGGATACATCTCTATCTAACTCACCGTCCTTCTGAATTATGGAGTCCAAGTAACGGAACATATCACTGACTGGTATCTCCTTACTATCCAGAGTAATTCCGCTATTACCACTGCTTCTACCTCCACCAAACTTGCACTCCATGTACTCTGTCTTGCTCCGACTTAGTTTGAAACCCTAATTCCCACGCATGACGCACTGAGTGCCATGAATCCACTATAGCACTTGCCAATACTATTTGCAGGGTTTTTTGGGTTGAATAGCTCAGAAATGGCAAATTCAATAGGTTATGAATTCAATTATTTGAATAATTGATTCTATATCATTCAATTGTTATTCTCCAAAACAAAGTAACAAACTGTGTTTCTAAAGAGTAGCAAAAAACACATATATGCGCAGGGTAGGAAATTAACCAAAAGAGCAGCAGCAGCTGCAGCACAGTCATTCAACTGGCCTGCAGGCCTCTTCGCCAGATTAGTTAACTCGTGAAAGCCCATGTAATCGATGTAAGTATACAAAGAATGAGATCGTGCTGCCCACCCTGAAAAATCAAGTAATGGATATCTTGCAGATTGGACACAATGTTCTTCTTAGCAGCCATGGGTCGATGCACTACAGAAGTTTAACAATATGTAAGGGACTAAGCGGGGTGGACACCTAAAAACATTATTTAATTCCAAAGAGGAGAATTAAGAAATGGTGGAGGCTCTTACATCTTTGTGAAATTTGTGCACGCAAGGGAGAAGGCGGATTGTGTCTCCAATTATCAGAGTTTCAAGGCAAACAGCACAAGCTTCTTCCAGATTCTCAACCTGCAATGGGCATGAGTCAATATAAGCAAAGTATCACTTCCGGGGAGGCATAGTCTCTCTTAAGGCCTACAACACCTTGTAAGTTGAAATTTTACCTGAACAACTGACAGTGGCAAACCATTAATCTGATTAATTGATGCACCCGCATGATGGTGATTATCTTCATCAAGTGCCAATAACATTTCATAGTCGTTCCTACAACAAGGGAAGAGGAAGAACGGAAGGTAAAAAAGGATAGTTTTATTTTACAACAACAACATTACCCAAGTGCCACAAAGGCTCCCACCTACGGTGGGGTAAGGGGGTCCAATGTACTCAACCTTAGTGCCTTACCTCTGTACTAACGCACAGAGAGGTCGTTTTCAGATGACCTATGATGAAAATCGCACCAAAAATTGCATGGACTCACTGCTGCTTCATAACTAGGAAGCACAAACAGTGTAGTGAGCCATTTTGTTTTATTTCATCATATTCCCAAGCCAAAAAAATAGTGAGTCTTTGGCACCAATGGAAACGATGGAAAAATAGTACGTAGTATAATTTTACATGTTCTGAAAAATACATTTCTCACACATACACACGCTTGAACACATGCTAAAATGTCAAAATGATGATGTAGCTGGAGAGCAGCCATCTAGAGCACTCATTATCTGATTCACAAAGATGTCACTCAATCACATGCATAAACCATGAAGTTTAAGAGCAGAACAAATGTCATATATGAATTTCGTAGTGAAGGGTAAAAGTAAAGAAGACAACTTACTCATTGAAGTCTTGTCGGGCATGAAGAAGCCTACCAGCTACTTCCATATTGCTAAACGCCTCAAGTGCTTCCAACATTTCAATTCTCTGAATTAAATACAAATGAAATCACTAAAATCAGATTGTTGACGAACTACCAACAAAATAATTGATTATTAATGCACGAAAGTTTGTCAAAAACCTTTAATAGCCTGTATCTTAGGGTCAACATAGGGTAACATTTAACTACTGGTGATTAAGGTATAGTGAAAACTGAAAAGAGCAGACACAGAGCCCAAGCAGGAAAGTAACCAATCCCACAAATTGGGAGAGATCCCATCTAGAAATCCATCAGTAGACCACTAAGATTACATATCAATCTAGAGGAGCAGAAACAGGTGTCACTTGGGGAAAATGTGAAAAGGGTTTACTACTATGCTCATGATCACACCTAGGGGTGGGCACGGGACGGAATGGGACGGGAATTAGACTATCCCGATCCTGAACCCGATTTAGGATAACGGGACAGAACGGGACGGGACAAGATGTTGTCCCGCTATTGTCCCTTTTAAATCGGTACCGGAACAGAACGGGACGGTTCGGGACATCCCAAAAAAATTGCAATGAAAAAAATACAGCTCCAAAAAGAAAGTTCATGACAAAAACTACAACACTAAAAATGCAACACATACAAAAATTTACGATAAATGCAACACAAAATATAGTAGATTAATAGGATAGTTGCACGAAACAAACCGTAACAACAACAATAACTCCAACACACACAATACTACTAAGAAACTACAAAATAAATAAAAAAGACAAACAATATTATTAGAAGTGAAACATGTGAAGTATATGTGAGTTTCTTTTTAGTATGTAGAAGATAATTCATACTAGTATTTGATATAAATTAGACCCCTTCAGGTTTTTTACATATTAGATAGCTAATACCTAATTAATATTCATTAGTATTTGAATTGATGGTAGACTCACTAACCCACAACCATATGCAATTTTGAATTCGGGACAACGGGACGGAACGGGACATATTTTATTTGTCCCGGTCCCGTTTTGTTTTGAAACGGTTCGGGACCGGAACGGGACAAAAATAGTTTGTCCCGAATTTAACGGGACAATTTCGGAATGGAACCGGAACGTTCCGGAACGGACCAACGGGACCGGGTCTTTTGCCCACCCCTAATCACACCACAATGTAAAGCTAGTTTCGCTATGCTCAAAGTGGTAAAAGGTCATTTAAATGATAGAAAAAATTGTACTGCCAGAGTTGAAAGAATAAACGTGTTCTCATATATTTGTAATTTGCATCAAATGTGAAGTGTCAGCACCAACACCATCGTTATGGCCAACTTAGTCAACATTAACATACCTACTTGGCTACTTGCAAACATGAAATAATAAATATAGTCTAACTATTATAGTATTTTGTCTTAACTAAACCTTTTCTTTTGATGAAGGGGACAATATCCGTTGATTCAATATGCCTTATAAGGGCACATAAAAGGCCTTCTTTCAGATCAAACACACACAAAACGAATTTCTCATACCATTCTCCAAAACTATCAGTACATACACGAGGATGTACTTCTGTGAGCTCCATCCGCAATTAAGCTCCCCTTTGGACTTGGCGCAGTTCTCAAAAAAATTAGTTTAGAGGAGAGGCAGGCAGTATCAACCTCATAATGCTTTCCTTAAAAGGAAAGAGGAAATAAATTTGGGCAGACGGAGACGGAATGAACGATGATAAAAAGGAACAGATGGAGTAACAAGTACCACCTGAGTGGCCTTAGTGCCTTACTATGGCGTTGGTCTAGCTGTGGCTTAAACATATTTCAACTCCCACCCCCCCTCCGAAGTCCAAAGTCCAAACCAGCAAATAAGTAGTACTGTAGTGCTTGGTTTAAAAAAGCGCGCCTGAGACGCGCAAAGGCGCGAAGCGCCCTAAGGCGATCACTTTATCGCATCTTCCACCCCCAGGCGGCATAGGTTCCAAGAGGCGCGCCTTATATGGCGCTTTTTGACGCCTTTTGCGCCTCTGAGAGGCACACGCTTCTCACGCATCATGGATGTCTCTTTTGGCAATTGAGTCTCTAGTCTTCTCCCTTCTTCCTTCTGCGCTTGGTTTGCTTCCGAGTTCCCACATCTGCGGTCCTGTTTCTTGCTCGCGTAGCAGGACTCGCAAGTCTGTTTCTTCCGCTACTTTCGCGCGTCGCAGGTAAGTATTTATTTCTTCTCTTCTACAGTTTGTTCTCTTATTTGTTTGATAGTTTATTAATTAAGTATGTATTATTTTATATTGTATTACCTTGAAATTGTAGTGTTACTACCTCTGTTGGTCTGTAGTGGTACCTCTGTAGGGTACCTAAATATTTGATTTTATTTAACAAATATATAAGACAGATTTTATTATTAACAATTTTTTATAGAGATATTACCCGAAATAGGACTAAAACAGTTTGAAAATTCCAAAATAGGACAGGCATGTTTTTATTCCCAAAATAGGACTAATTACCGTCATGTTTTGGCAGTACCAGACTTCAAACATGACAATATTTTCTAAACATGGCAGTAATTAGTCCTATTTTGGGAATAAAAAACATGACAGTCCTATTTTGGGAATAAAAAACATGAGTCCTATTTTGGAATTTTGAAACTGTTTTAGTCCTATTTCGGGAATTTTTATATAACATCTTATTAATTATGTTTTGAAATTTTAAGATTGAGTTTTGTGACTTGACTCTTGCCAATGATGCCGTTTGATATTTATTTCTTGTTACTGTCTTAATAAATATTTGATTTGTCTTATGATGTATGTTAAGATTGTTTAATAGTTTGAAGTATTTTTGTGATATTATCATTTTTTGAGATGAGTGCTTCATGTAGAAGACTAGAAATAGTATAATATATATCTTACCGAAGATATGATGTTAAGATCCGTGAGGCGCGCGCCTCGTCACCTAGCGCCTCGCGTCTCGGGTAAATCAATGAAAACGCCTCGCGCCGCCTCACGTCATTTAAAACTAAGCTGTAGTGCTAAAACACCCCAAAATATGATCCCAAAAAGGACAAGCAATGAGACATAACAAGAGTTATATCCACAAGCCTCACAATAATTTTCACTATCCTCAATTCCTCATTTTTAATCTGAAATATATACTTTCACATGTTTTCTCTCTTTGTCCCCCTACAATAGAATGATGATTACATTCTAGGGTACTGTTCTTCACTTCTTCCTGCGCTCCATCACATTGTTCATTCACTAACATCTAGTCATCTACTATTTGTGCACTTCCTTCAGAAAAAAAACTCAATTGCCCTTCTTTCCTGTTAAAATACTATTTACATTCCCTATTTCTCTCCATGTCACTTTTTAACTAATATTTTGGTAAACCCCTAAAAACCTAGCAATACAAAAGGCATGATGAACAGGACAACTAAATTAGACTCTTACTTGAACTATTGGAACACTTCATATTGGAAATGAAAAAAGTACATAAGATATATAACAAGGAAAACTAACAAAGTTGTACAATACCGTTTCTATGTTGACACTAGGAGCAAAAATTGAACTCGTGTGTCTTGCTGATGCTAGAGAACGAGACTGTCGAGGAACACGAGTCCCCGATCTCACTGATCTGTTAGAAGTAGATGCTCGAGCTAAAGATGCTCTGCGAGAAATACTAGCTGAAGACTGCACTTGGGATCGCCTTTGTGAGATTGTAGCTGATCTACCTCTCTATAAATTGAAAGAGGGAAAAGTGAAATATAACAAATCGGTGAAAAACTATAGGTATAGGCATGTTGAAACATCTAATACCATAAATTTTGAGCAAAAAACTCAAGAATTTCACATGTCATTTCAACGGAAAATGCTCCGACAATTCCTTTTATAACAGACTGTATGCCTCCCTCTGTGGCTCCGTCTGGCACATGCAAGAACATTTGACTAATGTTGTTTATACAACTCTTTTTTTGCAATATTAATTTAGAGAATTTATACTCTCTCTGCCCCCACAATATTCTTTCCAGTTTGACTTGGCAAACTTAATTAAGAAACTAAAATAGTATGGTACTATGGTTGTGGTTGATGTATAAAGGAGACAAACAACATCAACCATACAAAAGTTCGCTTAAAAGGAAGGAAAGTGGGGAAACAAAAATGCAGACATAAAACTGTGTGCCTCCTTCTGTGGCTCCATCTGGCATATGCAAGACATTTGACTTATGTATTTTACACAATTCTTTTTTCTTTGTAACACTAAATTAGAAAATTTCTACTCACTCCGTTCCACAGTATTCTTCCCAGTTTGACTTGGCAAACTTATTAAGAATCTGAAATAGTATGTTTGTGGGCTTGTGGTTGATGTATAATGGAGAGATACAACATCAACCATACAAATCTTTCATTAAAAGGAAATTGGAGGAAAATTAGAAAAAATTGGGAGATTCCAAAAAAAAGTAGGAAGAAAATTGTTGGGTGGAAGGAATAAACGTTAAAACAGCATAGTTTTATAAACCAAAAGATACAACAACAACATTACTCCAGTGCCGCAAAGACTTCCACCTACGGTGGGGTAGGGGGTTGGATGTACGCAGTCTTACCCATGTACAAAAGCACAGAGAGACTGTTTCCAAATGACCCATGATGAAAAATCACGACGGAAATTGCATGGACTGATTGCTGCTTCATAACAAAGAAGCGCAGACAGTTTAATGGTCATTTTCCTTTTTTCCGCCATATTCCCAAGACAAAAAATAGTGAGGAAATGAAGAAATTTTGGAAATTTTATAAAACAAAAAAATAAAACATATAAATTATTAAAAGTAATTGAAGAAATGAAGTGAAGAAACAAGAGCTGAATAATTCAATGAATAATAAACAGGTTATCACACAATATATAGATCAGACTTCTGTTGCCTTAAAGTGCAATATCCTTCATTTTATATCTAACTTACAGTTGCCATTTGACATATGACACATTTCATCATAAAAAGGGACTGAAGCAGTTCTACTTTTTGCAAAATTCAAAGAGAAAGAAGAAAGGAAAAAAGGGAAAAGAGAGAGATGGACGAGGGAGAGAAAGACAGAAGGGATAAGTAAGAGAGAGAGCATCAAAGCGTACAGTAATGATTGTATTTGTTTCACCGGAGAAAGAATGATGTGCACCATCTTGCTGTAAATCCATTGCTAAATGTTCATCAATCTGTCTCAAGATGGAAATGATCTATTGGAATATGAAAATTATAATAATGCAAAATAGAAAGAGACATCCACTAAAAATGTGTCTATATGCATCTGATACACATGGATATGTAAACAGGAAAACCTCAGTAACTCCAAAAATAGGTGTCTCATTATATAATTGCTCTTGTAACTCCCGTGCAAGCATTTCATCTGCTTCTAACTGTCTGACTCGAGCATCTTCATCCCTTTTGCAAGCTGAAGCTTGAGAACTGTCACTTCTTATTTGAGGGGAGCTATGACGGATCTCGAGAACCGGAGCTAAGAAATCTTTTCTTGGAAGGTTTTGGTACCATCCTGGTCTCAAATTACTAACATTTCTAGATGATCCTGTACATGTGATGCCATCACTAAATGTGGATGTAGAACATTCCCCATAATTGCTTGAAGTAGATCCTTGTTTTTGTCTTTTACCAAGAGAATTTACCACAGAATGATGATCATCAACACAGCCTGATTGTTGCCCAATAGATTGTACGATCTGACTACAAGATTGTTGCCCAATAGATTGTACGGTCTGACTAGAAGAATGTGCAAAGGCATGCCTACTGGAGGGTAATTCCTTGCACATAGGATTATTACGAACATTCTCATTGCTTTCTTTCTCTCTTTGTAAGAATCTGTTTTGACTTCGACTTCGTGTAGTTCTCCATCCACCTGGTTCCTCAAAGATTCTAAGAGTATCTTGACTGGCACTAGCATTTGTATCAATTTCATCATCAATAACCACCATATTGCTGCAAGTAATTCAACAGAGCAAACTATGATAAGAGCCTTTTCTTATTGTAAAAGGCTTATATTAGCTCACATAAAACCCGAGAGAAAACAATGAGACACTTAATCCTGAATCAATCACTAACCCTAGGATCAGACATAGAGTCAATCATCCTTTGAAGAGCGCTATGACTCACTAACTACAAGGCTACAATGATCGAATAAGCCTCTCCGCTATCTATCCTGACCAGAACTTGACCCCAAATGATTAAAACAAAAAACACCAAAGTAATGTCTGACTCTAAAACCCTAAAAACAACGCAAACATAAAAAACTAAACCGAGCATGATACTCAACAGAAAAATAAGCAGGACTAAACAAATAGAAATACTTGATTCCATCAAAAAGCCAAGGCGGGTCTGAAGTCAAGAACCCGTCTCCTTCCCATTTTTTGGTCCGTCCAATTTCATGAACAACTCAGATAGATCTCCTTTTCCGTGCTTATCCCACCCTCGAAGACGCTTTTGAACACCTACCAGCTGATCTCCTTCCATTCCTGCCCCGCCCACCTCTTTAATCGCAACTTGATGGTGACGCTCCTCCATCTTTCCCAGCGAAGTCATCTCCGTTCCTGTGACTGATCTAATCTTGTCATAGAAGTCCTTGGCCATGGTTTTTTATATGCAAAACTCAATCCCAGAGCCGCACTAGGCGGCAAGAAAAACTCGCACAAGAGGCGACAAGCCCTAGGGCATCCACGAGTTCATGACTTTTTTCTAGCGGTGACTTAATAATAATGAAAACATTCTTAATGAAATTTAAGTTACTGAAATTGTAATTTACTGCACTAGGGGGAAAATCTTCCAAGTAGTAAACAAATGATAATGCAATTGAATTTCCGCACCAACAACAAAATCAAAGTCTTAATCCCAAAAGATTTTGGGGTCGGCTAACATGAACCGAAACATGATATCAAAGCCAAAAGCAAATGAAAGATAAAAGATAAGGTATGATGATTAAAAAAAAGATAATGAAAAAGATAAGACAAAATAGAAATAAGATATACATAAAAATGACAAAATAAAATCAACAGAAATTATATAAAAACAGAATATATATATAAAAACAGAAAAAATGGATAACTAGAATTTCCGTACCAGAAGAGAAAAAATAATAATAATAATAATAATAATAATAATAATATATCATTGCACTGAATTTCATTAAAACAATAGCATTAGGATATTAGATTACTGATAAAAGATGGATAAATAGAAGTATAGAACTTAAGACTGGCAAAGAGAGGAATCTAAAATAACATATAAATCCGCATATCTCAGGGAACCGGAAAAATGAATCTTTGTGGTAAGCTGAACTGCTAAAGATGCACATCATACGGAAAATTTCAAACAAATTCACAGGAAACGACTAAGAACCACTATATGAGCCAACTTGTGGAAACCCACTCATCAGAACTGTGACGAAATTTCAGCCATATACTAATAGTCTAAGTGTCTAACACTGATGCATGGGTGCCCTTTTTATAACTTCATGGCTATGTTTTCAAATTTCCAATTTCAACTCAGTTAAATGCAGGTGAAGAAAAAAGGTGATTCTCTAAAATGTAGTAACTTTTAGTGGTTATCTGGTTCATATCTCTGGGGTTAAAAACTAAAACAAGTTATCATTTATAAGTACCTGTGAGATGTATTTGCGCTTTTAGCCTTTGGTTCTGAGGAAATAGAAGGATATACGGTTACCCCTTTGCCTTTGGATGAGCATGAGGTGTGTTCTTCAGAAACCAAATCTATAACATTAAATACATTCTTTGAGCTGCTAGATGTTGCAGGAAATCTGGTACAATCTCGTTCAATAGTTAAAGGACAATTCTGATCCGTCCCAATTGGTTTTTTGGCCTTCGCTATATTATGAGGAGATATACATCCATTTCGAACCAGTCTTCTTTTCCCAGTGACCCTAGGCAAGGAGGTAGTAACAGAAGCATGGCCAGCCTTCATGCCATTGTAACGCACATGATCAGCGAGCTTTGTCCTCTCTCCATGATTGATAGACACAGTGACTTTATTTTTATCACCAATTGGTTTTACTTCGCGGCCATTCTTTGTGGTCACTGAAAGATTTTCCATATCTCGTAAGTCAGAAGACTCACAGCTTGATACAGCTCCCTTGTTAAAACCCTCAACAAGCGTACTTTTTGTTGAATTCGCAACCAACCCACTAGTGCAGGAAGATGCTTCAGGATTCAACACTTGGTCCTCTTTCTTTCTAAGTTGGTCTGAGATATAGTGCCTCCCATAGTGGTTGGGGGCACTTTCATTGTTCCTTCCATGCAAAAAACTAATTTTTGAAGGAGATCCGTGCACTTCAAAAGCTGAAGACTTTGCATGGCAGTCCAAATGACCAGAGTGTCCAGAACTACTGGTTCTTGCAGGACAATGACTTAAAAGCCTCGTGGTTCCAATGACATTGGTGATCAGATGGCTCTTAGTCTGCTCAGTACAAAGCTTTTCCTGTTCTGAATGGCTTTCTAAAGTGATTATCTCCTTTTTAACTCCACCAGTGTGCCTGTTCTGTGAAGATTGTCCAGAATGTTTAGAATTACTATATAGTCTTGGAGGTCGATTAAAAAGTTGCATGGTTCTGTCGGGGGTATCTGGAACTTCCTCTACATCGTCAATAACCAGTTGATCCATAAGCACTGCAATAGAAATAAGATGCACAAAATTAGTAGATGATTCAAAATTACCAGCTACAAATGATTCATATACATTCATAAATGTGTCCCACATTTGTATATTCAAATAAACATCTGGCTGATATGAAATTTCACAATATTGCTGAAGCAGATTGAAAACATTTTGACAAGTAAAACTTAAGGGTCTCCAATATTTGTGATCGAGTCATGTTAAAATGAAATAATGAATTGAGGGAAAGCAGAAAGCCGGGTGTAGTCTTCAATGGTGAGAGCATCTTGAATTGAACGCGAAGATGTGGGATTTTTAGAGGGAGCTTGACAGAAGCAATAAATTACAAATGCAGATTAAAATTAAATGGGAGATATTGAGTTCTCCTAAAACTCCCTGGAGAGAATGAGAGATGTTGTTTAGTTCTCCCAAACACAAGACATCGTTAAATACAAGAGTTCCTAGTTCTTACAATAACGAACCATAAAAGCATATGAAACAATTCATGCAACAGTGTACCATGGACGTAAATCATGTAACTAAGTTCAATGTGTGCATGTGACATACTGCATCCCAATGTTCACTACTTGTGTGCAATGTTTGAAATTGCGCATTGCGGAGTTGAGGCGTTTTTTTTTTCAAGGCGTATTGCATAAGCCTCATTGCGCATTGAGGCACAAGGCTAAGACTTAATGTGTAGGAATTTTTTATATAAAATTTTATACGGAGTAACTAATAAGAAATAAAAACTCCTTCAAAGTAACATGCTTAATTACCAAATTAACAATAATGTCATAAAATAATAGAAATCTTAGTTGAAAATGGCATCATATAAATTATTTATTCTAAAATTCCAAGTTTTTTATTGATGAGTGCAAAAGAGAATTACTAATGGTAATATTTTAACATTATTTGATATATTAATCTAATCCAAATTAAACAATATATACGACTACGCTTGGGAAAAAAATCAAATATTATGAAAAGTAAAACTTCACTAAGAATAAAGGAAAATTTTGAAAATAAATAATTAAAAACATTGCCTAAAAAAGAGAAAATATAGTAAATTTCGTTGCAACAAGTAATTTCAAACCTAAACAAACATTAATCTAAAAAAGGGAATCCAGCTGGAATCCACTCAAAAGGATATTACATGTGGAGGCCGTTTGGCAACACTGTTTTTCGGCTTATCAACCAACTTTTTCACCAAACACGTAACTTTTGTTTCCGCGCGCTGAATTGTGTAATAAGCATAAAAAGTAGGGTTGTAGTTACTTTTCTAGTTGTATTGGCTGAAGTTACTGTAGATGACCATTTTAACTATTTTTACATATAATTTTTTCTTTATTTTATTAATAAAATATATTTTAAAATTATTTTTTTCTTATATCAGCAGAATCAGCCAATGCAGCCACTTCAGCCAGAACTTCATAAATTTAAGCAGAATCAGCCAAATCAACCAAATTTTATGCTACCAAACGGGCTCGTGGTGTATGAGAAGTCCAGAAGGATACTTTGGAACCGACTCAAAGTAATATACTACGTACTTTGTATAATTCTCGTCCCCACTAAAGCCTGCCAACGCACGCCGAGGGACAGACAGACTCAAATAAGAACAGTGCAGGGCAATAAGAAGGATAGGCGGACAGGCTGAAAGCTTACAAATGAGCTGGTGTACAAAAATTAATACTCACCAGAGAGGGAGAGAGGTGGACTGCTACATGCTAATCAGAAGAAGAGAAGTATGTTGGTCGAGTATTAAATTAATTCTTGAGAGTGAAATACATCTGGGCCCATCCTTTTCATGTCATCTGGAAACCTATTATTGCGTAAGCCTTCTTGCAATTTGTATCGCACGCCTTATATCGTCCACCTCAGGATAAAAGGCGCAAGCTTTCTTATGGCGTAAAAAAGTTTCGCCTTTAATCACAATAAGCCTGGAAATCAACAAGGCTTATTGCGCAATTTCAAACATTGCTTGTGTGATTAAAATGCCAATATATAACTGACCCAACCATATCACATACATTGTTAAAATTTACATATACAATCAAAGCATAATTGATAATAGTATACATGAAACAACAAAAATAGGTGGCCGCCAAATCTGGCTAATTTGTTTCTTAAACCGTATAGACTTGCATGTATGGCAAGAAAGAATCAGTTAACAATTGCTACCCCTATTAACTGCCTAATGAGCTCATTTCTCTAAGAACAGTTTGTTTGAAAGAGAATTTATAAAGGGATATGCATGGGTGTGATAAAAGTCGCTCCCAAAACATAAACATTGGCAGCTCCTCAGCTTTCATGCAGAAACAAAATGAGAACGTTTATTATGTAATTATGTGCGCTTGTTTTGAAAAAAAAAACATTCAGACAAACTGTTTAACTTCGCATTTGAAATAAGAAAAATGCTAGAAGTACAAACACACTTACAAAAAAACTTGCAAACAAGTGATGTGGCTATTCTAATTAACATTGATGTAAAAGTGTTGTAAATGTGATGTGATGTGTTAAATAATGTGATGATGCCACATGCCCCTTTTGTAAGAATTTTTGTAAAAGTTTTTGTACCTCTAGCATAACTCTTGAAATAATGAACTTAGTCCAGAACATCACACAACATATTATGTTATGAATAGCAATACATGCACATGCGCAGTCTTAAGTCTTAACAATAAAAAAATCAGATGACATCACTCTTAATTTCCCAAGGGAAGGTCTTGGGTTCAAAATCACATTCCAAATTCCCAGTCTACAGTATGTTGATTACTGAGCAGGTGCTTTCATTACAGATCAATTAAGTGTAAACAAAAACTATAAACAAAATACAAAAATAATAATAAAAATACTTGATAATTATTTTAAAATGAATGAATAGCTGTTCAACCATGTCATGTTGGTCAATTAGATACAATATGTTATGTGTGCGTCTTCTAATCCCAATTACACCTTTTTGAGGTTAAGAGTATGATCTTTGAAAACTAGTGCAGTTGAGTAGATGACAAATGCAATGATTCAACATGTCATTACTGCACTTAAGGATGTTACTTATGAATTTACAGCCATGATGAGGGAGGAAGCCATGAATGGAGATTGTCTAGAATTCTTAGAATCAATTAACTATTTAACTAATAAGAATCACACTACAATTCTTGGAACAGAGGACAACACATGAAGATGTGCACTTGTCTTTAAATTATGCAATTAACCCCATAAATTTACATTTTTGAAAGAAATAATACATTACAATGGTGCGGAAATAACTTTTTATATAAAGTTTGGGATATTTAAATTACATATGCAAGTTTGGGGTGTTTACCTCACACCCCTTCAAAGTTTGGAGTTTTTTATTATTTTTCCCAATAATTAATGAGTTATATCAGTGAAGACAGTGAAGGTTGTTGGGAGTAGGGCTCGGTCGTGGGTGTGTGAACCATTATTCTAATAATGAGATCATTTGATCTCTCAGTTCTACCTGTCATCATCCAACCACTACGAGATTCTCATGTTGCAGAAACGATTACACTGATTCAATAGTTTAGGATTAACAGTCGATTTTCCTAGCTTTGAAATAAATTGATGTAAATTATGGTTCTGTTTATACTGCTGAATGATACACATTCGCTTCCCCTCATCTTCTCTTGTCGAAAAAACCCCTCCTTAACTCTTCTTTTCATATCTTCGCCCATTAATTTCCACTAAAAGTGTGGTAGGGCGGGATATAGCAGTTAAAAATAAGGGAGAATTTGACTTTGCACCCCATGTTTTGGGTGATATTTGAGTTTGCACCCTATTTTCAAAATAATTAATGTATGCACCCCAATTCACTATAAAATCATTTGACTTTGCACCCCACTCCTTCACAATTTTTGGGCTAATGGGGTGCATACATTAATGATTTTAAAAATGGGGTGCAAAGTCAAATATCGCCCAAAACATGGGATGCAAACTCAAATTCTCCCTAAAAATAATTGAAATTCAGATAATTGCTAATTATCGAACCATGTTAGTAACTTGAGCATGTCAGGCTCCATTAAAACCCTATAGCGTGCTGAATTCATGATTACTCGATTTCAAATTCTCTAACAAACCCTAGATGAATCACCAAGATGCGACAAAGAAAACTTTAAATATGAAAAAAGATTAACGACAATTAAAATTGAACCTTTCGATACCTTTGGTGGATTTAGAGAACTGAGAGTGCTGAGAGACCGAAGCACGCTTATTGCGTGTGATTTGCCCCAACAAGAAAAAGAAGTTGCGCAAAGCTACTGGCTTGCCTGCAAGGCTGCAATGGCCGGTTTCAAATATTTCAGTTATATTTCACTTTGCCCGCTAATCAAGATATATTGTCAATTTAGCCCTAGTTTTGTTTTTAATTGAACATGTTTCCGTCCGTACGACTGTACGAGACCAATTCTAATTAAATCACAAAATTACATTCTAATTAAAACTTTCATTATGTGCTTTGTTAGGTCTATTGTTTAAGGAAAAAAATGTTGAGTTGGTATACACCTTTTTGTGTACACTTTTCATTCATGTTTATCTTACGCATATAGAATTGTCTGTACACAGACAACCCTACATGTGTCTTGAGAAAAATTGATCAATAAAAAAAATTAAAAGGTGCTAAAAAGAAAGAAATTAAGCCACTTGTGGTTTTGGTATGATCCGACTCAAGTGTTAGAGGTATTCACGAAGGTTGGATACTCAAACAAGGTACACAAATATTATGCTCACTCTGCTCCAGTTTAACTTTCTCATTTGTCTATTTTGGACATTCCTATTAAAGCTTTACATTTCAAAATTAGGAAATAACTAGAACTCTTAGATGATATTCAATAATAATAACAATATACACATATAATATTATAATTGTCATCAATTACCTCATTTTGTTATGTACTCACCAAAAATATTTCTCAAAATATACTTGAATTGCCGTAATGAATTATTTTTCTAAATAACAGTGTCACTTTTCAATGAGAAACATAATCCGGTGCACAAATAGTATTCTTTAGAATGAGGCTATCCACGTAATCAATGTTATTTTGATCGAGCAAGCAATAGACTTTATTCTTCGAATATTTAATGAATCGGCAATTAAAATTTTAAAACAGAAAAAATAGCAAAAAAAGACCACATTAAACGTGAACTACAGCGCTACGATCAAACATAAAGTCTAGATCACAACTTTTACACAATTTCTACATACTTCCTCCGTTCTTTTTTAAAGCAACAGTTCACTTTTCATGTTTGCCAACACGCAAGTTTGATCACTAATATCTTTCGGTCCTAATTAATAAAAAACTAAAAAATCGGAATTTGAAAATTGAAATGAGAAGAATTTAACGATATTTTTCAAATTTTTAATTTATAATTAATAAATAATAAAATGTAGTCAAAGGAGGATATGTGAATAGTGCAAAATCGTCAATATTGCAACTAAAAGATAACGAATGTAGTATATAATAGAGGTTTTTAACATGTTTACATTATATAAAGATATTGTTGAAAAAACTAATTCAAGATGAATTTGATTGTGTATATAAATATATGGATGAATGTTACTCCCTCCGTCCCATTTTACTTGTCTTACTTTCCTTTTTGGTTGTCTCAAAATAAGTGTCATATTTCCCTTTTTAGAAAGAAATATGTGGTTCACACCATTTCACTTTACTATACTCAAATCTCAACCACAATTTTTACCTTTTTAATCATTTTATATAAGATTGTGCCAAAACCAAATGAGACATATAAAATGGGACGAACGTAGTATGTACATTTTGTTTTTTCGGGGAAACTCAAAAGGGTGAACATTAGAGGACTTTTCGTGTGCCCATTCTCCTTTTGAGTTGTATTAGACACGCCCTTCCGCCGGAGACAGATCCTCAACCTAAAATTGGTGATAAGTTTCCACTCCTCCTCCTCCTCTGTAGATGACTCCTACAATTGGTTTCATGTTTGGATCCAGTCAAAGAAAACACACAATTTCATCTCTTTTTTGTTTTGCAGTGTTTAATAACCTATGTGAGTTGGTCGTTAGAACTCAATCGGGATGAATGTAATCTAAGAACACATGAATATTTTCGTTGTTATTCCCACAAATGGCACCATAGGTGTATAAATATAAATAAATGGTATGAACACTTATACTTTTACATGGAACTCCGAAAGAGGGAAAATCAGGAGACTTTTCGGACTAATGCCCGAGTCACTCCTTTTATTAATGTTTTTCTCACCATTGTCACATAATACAAGAGCTCCCATTATTGGAGTTCGCAACATAGATGGAAATCCTCCAAAAAGTATGAGTCTTCGGAACAAGCCTCACAAGTGGGTTACCAGCGAAAACTTATATTGAGTCTTCGGAACAAATCATAATAGACCGGAGTCCAATACCCCAATAGATATTATGAGTTGATGATGACTTTATTGAAAAAGAAGTTATTATGACGAGAGTTCTTAAGTTTATTAGGTTTTAATGTGTTATGACATACTACATGTCATAACATTATAGAAAATGGATAACATTAACTTAAAATTTATTAATACTCACGTAGAAAATTGTAAATGATAAATTTAATGTCTATAGATAATTATTTAGTCAAATACTTTTTAAATATTCTATATAAATTTCCAATCATTACGATGTTTTCGCTTGGAATTCAAAAATTATGTACCGGCATGAGGTAGCGTGGTATGATCGGCTTAAACTTGCTCTTGTGTGGCCTAATTTGTTTAAGTTCGATGTGATCTTATGTATTTAAGTTTGGTATGATATTGTACCATACTACCATGAACAATTTTGATGGAGTTTAATTCCAATTAACTGGAAGAGTTAATTTACGAAAACGATATATTTGGGCAAGGTAAGGCAGTTTATTAATTAGAAAAGCAGATCCCTTTTAGGGTAAGGATCAGACCAGATTAGGTCAGTCCAGATCAGACTTGGATCGTTATAAAGTACACAGAGACCATACATTTACCAGACTAGACCAGACCAATTCAGACCAGACCAGGAAATTTCAGTCCAAGCAAAAACATCTGAAGTACATAATCGACATATTTAATAGTCTATTCATGATGAAACTCTTCTAACGTATCCCATAACTGAGCATCTATCACTCCTTTATGTCAATGTTTCTTCTGTTACATCCATGTCGCTGCCAGATAGATATGTGTAACCGATAGCTAGTCACATAAGCCTTAGGTTGAGCCCGACCTCGCCAAAATCCTGCCCACGCTCGAGGCCTGCTAATTAGGTCAGTCTGGATGTGGGTTCTTTTCGCGGGTCGCGATCTCTGTCAGACCGAGTTGGCTTTATTAGTCAATTTATCCCGATTAATGGACTTAGTTTATTAATCCTGTATAATGGGCTTCGTGTGTGTGATCTTTAATTGGGTCGTGGTCACAGTCCATGGTACCATCAAGTTGATTATTGTGTAAGACTAATTTATTTAAGGATTTAATTAATCTAAGACAAAAAATAGATAAACTATCAATTTAAGATCTGAAAACATGAAAACCATCGGTATAAGCTCTGAGCGATTGAAAACTTTCAATCTAGGACCTAGTTTTCATGAATTTTATTATAATTTTTTTAAGGAAACTGCATTGAATTTTATTTTAAAAACCTAAACTATTATTTAATTTTGTTGATCTAATAACTTTTGTGAAGAAATATTCATAGAAATTTAGCAATGGAATTAATAAAAAATTAAATAAATCTAAACCTAGGAAATTTTAGATCTTAGATGACCATTTTCAATTTGTCTTTTAGGTTCTGGATTGATAAAACTATCAAACAAAAAAGGAGTGTATATAAAATTAAGTGGCTAAAAATGTACTCCATACTAGACAACCAAGTTGCCATGGAGCCATGCCAACTTTCAAAGCCTAACTCAACATACATGCACTATATATGTGCGGGTAGCCAATCTCAACAACACTGTGCCAACATTAATATAATTCAATTTCACAAAATAAAGACCGGAAGATGAAAGTTTTTGAGGAGTTTCATATGAATGGAGGTATTGGAGAAGCAAGCTATGCCAATAACTCTCTACTCCAGGCATGAGTTACTTGTTAAATCTTGAAACGAACTTCATATCCTTTTTTGTTGCCTCTTACATTATCCCCAAATTCTTCTTTTAGAAAATGATTGTGATTTATACAGAGTAATATTTTTAATTATCCAATAAATAGCAGTAAACAAACCCAATCACATGAATGATATCCATTAGTGATAATTATATGGCAAAAGTAAATACAATAGACTAAACTAATTTTTTACTTCTTGATGTTCCATTTTGTTACATAGGGCGGAGTATTATGTTATTTTCGCATGACCATGTAATATTATTTACAATATTGTACTAACTCAGTCCCAAATAGATCTGTCATATTGTCTTTTTTTGTCAATAATGATGACAAATTTTTAATAACGATTAAATTATTATATTTGTGTTGAGATTTATTCCCTCAACCCGCAGGCCCAACACGTAATCTGGGGGTTTTGAATGGGTGGTGAATAAGTAAGATGGAGAAATAAGCAAGAAATATGTCAAAAAACTGTGTTTACTAACTCAAACCGTTACAAGCTGAAGGGCCGAACGTACTGTGCTAAGCTACGAACTGCTGTTACTAATAAAATGCTAGAGTGCTAAATTGCGAACCCTTTACAGTGAAATAAATGCTACTATTTATACCCCCAATGGGTAGTTGGACATGTCGACGTGGCAGGCTGTGGGCAGCATGATCCCAACCACCAAATCTTCTGCATTAAATGCGCTTCCCGCCAGAATCTTGGTTTCTCGCCATTGGGTGGGGACGTTCGTCCCCAAGGGCTTGGCCGCTGTCTCCTGCTGGGATCTCGATTCCCTATCAACGGGAGAGGGGACGTTCGTCTTCATGTACTTGATCTATTGAGAGGCTACTATCCTTGATCTATTCTTGAGCCGCCCTTGGTCCCCTACTAAGAGGTGGGGACGTCCGTCCTCAAGTACCTCGTAGGGGCCCTGGGCCTGAGTGCCTCCTGGCAGTGGAATACGTACGTCTCCTGGCCCTAGGGCATTGGTACTGGCCGGTGATGGAGTACGTACTGGGCCTTGGCACCGGCTGGTGATGGACTACGTTCGTCCCCTGGCCTTTTTCTTGGACCTTTAGTAGGACGCTCGTAGGTGATCCTTAAGGGTTGATGGGCCGGCCCTTATTGGGCCATTAACCCAACACAAGTCCCCCACTTCTGATGTTCCGAGCTTGCGCGGGACATAAAGAAGTAATTTGCTTCCGCCGTACTGCCCCGGACTGTCGTTCTTACTTCTGATGTGA